CATTTGTTGATACTTTAGGGTGTTTTGGACAGGAAGCGTGAAAATTACATCAAAACCTCATCATAGTGAGGATATTAATAATGAGATGTGCAATGCCATTTTACTTTAATATTTGATTTATTTAATTGAAATAAGATACCTATACTTGAGCTTTTAAGAGTCAATTACTCAAAAATGTCAAAATAAAACATATACAATTGATTTTAACACACTAATCTTCAGGGGCATTATTATTTTTTATTTTTTACTAAATAAAAATTATTTTGTTTGCCTACACATACAGTACATAATTCTTACCAAACGTTGCTTTTGAGCCAACAATTAGACATTCTTCTTAAGGGGGGGGGGGGGGGGGGGGGGGGGGGGGGGTACCCCCAATGCCCCCAAGTTACCTTATCATCTACACTGTTCGGCATTCGTCCTCTCCAATGATTGACTATTTCTGTGATAACATCTCAGGTGAAAAATATCCCTTTTCACTGCAAGAGAGTAGAGCTGATTAGAGATCAGAGATAGTGTTACAACTCTGTTCTCCATTATAGATAACACCAGCTCTCTCAGCATAGTATTTATTTTATGCCAGAACCAGAAACAGCAGTCTGAGTTTTGTTTTCCAGCTTGTATCCAATAATGATTTCAGATAACAAAGTCAAAATGATGTTTTTCCCCTTTGTTTGTGGGGATTAGGTCAGCCTATTTATGGGTTAGATTTACATTCAGATTGAGATAAGGGAATCCAGCCGCACTTCCTGCTAATCAAAAGGGCTTCAATAGTTCTTACTTCTACACACATGAAGATTATGGCAAAAAGAGGGAGATAAACAACTTTTCCCTGAATGTGTCTCACATCAATTGGCTTATCAGCCAGAACATAGGTGGTTTTCTGGCAATGACACTCTTGTTGTTTTGTTGTTCTTGTTGACATCATTTGTTGCTACATCTCCTAAGGGAAATCAGATTGTCAGATTTATAGATACGGCCTACTGAGCTTAATCTGTAAATTCCATCTGAAAGAACCAGAGTCCAAAAAGTATACCCTCTGGGCACACACTGGTTGAATCAACGTTGTTTCCACGTCATTTCAATGAAGTGATGTTGAACCAATGTGGAATATTGGATTGACGTCTGTGCCCAGTGGGTAGTTACTTCAATTGTGATGTATAACAAACCTTGATTGTCTCACTAGAAAATGAATCTGTCTTGGTTTTATTTATTGACAAGGAGGATTTGTTAATTACTTTTTATTTATTTGTATTAATGAGGAGGACTATTCTCCTCTTCCTCACCGAGCAGCTTGGTCTGGAATCAACATACTGTTTATGAAGTGTGATGTGACACTGAACAGAGTAATACTGGAGGCTGTGTTTCACCAAGACCGGTGTCAGCAGTAAACACTATTAGTATGTCAGAGACATATGGCCTAGACTAGTATATGTGTTCCTTCCAGACAGGTGGAAACATCCCAGGGCTGAGAACTATTGTCTTTGTAAATCTACACCTGCCAGCCTCTCGCTCGCTCGTCAGACAACACACAGCCAGAGTGATGTCACCTTGTTTTTGTGTACTCCATACCAGACATAGAGCCCTGAAACATGATGCTTTCTCTCTGAAAGGTGCCTGTACTATTTCATGCTGGGTTAGAGAGTTAGAAGGTGGATGGACACTGGGCTGTAGGCCACGGAATCAGGCTCTCTATAAAGATATTATATTACAGAGATTAGCTGTAGAGAAGGAGTTCCCAAAATACTGTTTTTGTGATGATTAGTCATCATAGAGCCACATGCTACAGTGCAGCCTATTTTGTAGAGCATTGCAAATAAATTAGAATAGATCATTTATTTTTATTTTGAAATAAATAAAAAATACTTTATGTGAAAATGGAGGCAAAGGGTTAATATAGGTCTAAGTTTAGTTGTAGAAATTAATCAAATAGTCTGAAAATCAATGACATCCCCATATCATGGTATCTGAAGGCTTGGGGGACCTCTGGTGGTTCTATTGAAAACAATTAGCAAAACTTTACAATTAGCAAAACCTTACACTCAAGGAGCAAAACACAAGGCTAGATTTGCACAACGGTAAGCACATTGTCAGCTTCACACTATTATATATATATTGCAAAACAATACACACAGTGATTTGCAAAACACTAAACACACTTGTATACATCAGACACAGAAGTATATCATGATGTCACTTCCTTGCAATTCCAAAGCACTGAATGTCAAATTACCACACCTATGAGCCAATCTGTTAAACACAGCCATCAGGTGCACAAACACATGATTGCTAAATTGTAGACACACCAATCAGGTTTAAGCACTATAAAAATGCAGCAGGTAGGTTCACCTGCCTTCAACCAAAATGGAAGGAGTCAGAAGAAGAGTGAGGGTGAGAGGAGGAGTACACAGAGGAGGAGAAGAAGGAGGTAGAGGAAGAGGCAGAGGCCGAGCCAGAGGTCGAGGAAGACCTGAAGCAGGAGGAGAACGTGCACAAAGAAGAAGAGGACCAAACTTATCAAATGACATTCGTGCAACACTAGTGGACCATGTTGTGAACCACGGATTGACGCTGAGGGAGGCTGGACTGAGAGTTCAGCCAAATCTTAGCAGATATACAGTGTCATCTGTCATAAGGACTTTTCGACAGGAAAACAGGTAAAAGAAGATCTGTCTACAGTTACAGTAATCAGCCGCTTATTGTATGCACCATATCAGCACTTGTGATACCCCTTCCTGTGACATTGTACAGTAAGTTACATGTATTATTCTCTACATAGGATTGAGGGTCGGGAACGACAAGGAGGAAGGGGACCCATATTCACGCAAGAACAAGAGCGAGAGATAATAAACATGGTTTTGGCCAATTATGCTATCAGGCTCAGAGAACTACAAGCCAACATTATCGGAGACCATGCCATTTTCAATAATGTCCATCAGGTCTCTCAGTCAACACTGGCACGCATCCTGAAAAGACATAATGTTCAAATGAAACAACTTTATCGTTTGCCCTTTGAGCGGAATTCAGAGAGGGTCAAACGTCTGCGGCATGAGTATGTGAAGGTTTGTATTGTTCACTTTAGCACTGTGATGTTGCATACTGCACACATGCCCTTTTTACATTGACTGTATACTAGACCTATCCTGAACTACACAATCTTGTCCTTCACTGTATTTCAGAGTTTTGCAGATGGATGCTGAGGAAATCCTGCATGAATTCATATATATTGATGAGGCAGGGTTCAACCTCACAAAAGCAAGAAGGAGAGGCAGAACTATCATTGGCCACAGGGCTATAATCAATGTCCCAGGGCAACGTGGGGGTAACATCACCCTTTGCGCTGCCATTTCACAGCATGGGGTTCTCCTCCGTCATGCAAAAATGGGCCCTTACAACACACCTCACATTCTCGCATTTTTGGACCGATTGCACCACATCGTCACAGCAAGTAATGAAATGCACCAGATGCAATACACTGTCATCTGGGACAATGTGTCATTCCACCGCTCTGCTTTGGTCCAGAACTGGTTTCAACACCATCCACAGTTGACAGTACTATACCTTCCACCATACTCTCCGTTTCTAAACCCTATCGAATAGTTTTTCTCTGCATGGCGGTGGAAGGTTTATGATCTCCAGCCCCAGGCTCAGGTACCCCTCATTCAGGCCATGGAGGCTGCCTGTGACCAAGGCGACGCCGCAGCTGTGCAAGGATGGATTCGACATTCAAGACGGTTCTTCCCGCGTTGTCTTGCTAATGAGGATATTGCTTGTGATGTTGATTACATTCTCTGGCCAGATCCAGCTAGGCGAAGAGATAATGTATAGTATGTTTACTGTAGTATTTTCTGTACAATATTGTCAGTTTTTTTCAGTTTTTGTTTGTTTGTTGTTGTTATTTACTGTAATTGTAACCTGTACTGGATACAGTATTTTACGTTTGTCTGTTTGCTGAACAACGGTGTTATGCACACTACTGTAGTAGCATGAAAACTGGGACATGTTTTGTTGTGACTCTCCATGTTGACATGTTGACTGATTTGGGTATATGGAGAGAAATAAATGATATTTTCCTCAGTCTGCAGCATTGGTCTTGTGTAGTGTTTGTATAGTTGCACTTTCTCTGTGTACTTCATTTACAGTACTCTAATCACTGAGAATTAGACTTGCTAAAAGTGTTTTAGGTTAGCAACAGCAGTGTGTAACTGGTTCAAAAAGATTGAAGTCATATGAAATGTGTTTCGTATGGTAACAAAATATAGTTTTTATGAAGTCGTGTATAGTTTTGACAAGTGTTCAATTTTGCAAATGATCTGAAGTGTTGTGCTACTTTGGTGTAGGGTTGTGGTAATTGTGTGTAGTGTTTTGACAAACCGGGCCCTGTTTTCAAAATTGTGCTTAAACAATTGAAAAAAAAATGTAATGGAAATCACTGTAATGTACTCTGTTTAAAATGTATTCAGTACTATTAGCATACCACCATTGTTTGTGTTACTATTACGGATAGGGGACTTACCCATGACGCATTTGTTCTTGCTCTCTCGTCATATTGGGAATAGACAAGGGTGAGTAGACTAGTCTACAACTCCAGCAACAAGTGGTTGGTAAAAAAGTTATCCAGTCCATTTACAGTTAGTAAGGGACGTCGATATCCGTGGGACATAGACGCGGCAAATGTTGACATCGCATTTTCACCTGAAGCGCATAGTTTCTATTGCCTGTGTAAATGTAGACTGTTTTACATTGAGATTTTGACTTTACGCACAGTCCGTATAGCAACCGTCTGCAAATTCATCAGTTCATTCTACACCTGGCCAAACTTCTGCAAACTTTTTTTACATTGCCACTGCAGAGAGGCTGTATATGACACTGATCAACCGGACTCTGGACCAGCGAGGAAGATACATCTTGATGTGCGCCGACTGCCCAATTTATGCAAGGAGGACAGAGAAAGTTGCGGACAGGTTTTGAAACCAGGCGAGATGGATAATGATTTGTGTATGGCAAAAGACGACTCCAACTTTGACCACAGAGATGTGCGTGTCTGTCAGAAAGGATGCGGACTTCTCTTGCAGACAGACATTGTCCAGGGAGACCATTGCTGTTTAGATGCGCTTCGTATGCTGAACGATGCGCTCCAGGAACGGAGCGCTACGTTGGAGCATGAAGCCCGGATGCAGCAGCTCAGGTGGGTCAGGAGAAAGCAGTCCCTACTGGCCCAGGTGTCATCCCTCCAGAGCGAAGCTCAATTGACTGCTCTGAAGTACCAGCGAAAGTTACACCAATACATGCTGAACATCAACAACATAGCCAAACAGGTTATTGGATATTACAAGGTGAGAACTTGTATCATATTAAACTCAGTCCCAACACCAATTATTGCTTTTGATGTGATAAAATTACATAATGTCAAGATTGGTATGCCTACTGTATTTGAGATGGACACATTAGATGGCATATGTAACACTATATTGCATTATCCAGCAACATACACTATTAGGCTATTTCTTTTACTGTTCTTTTTTTGTTATGATAATGTTAACAGAGTGACTCAGGAACTTCTGGAGTCTGCCTGTCCCAGCTATCTGAACAAGTTCCAACTGATGCAGTGGAATTCAGTCAGTAATGATCATCAGACCTATTCTATTTAGCATACTAATATTGCTTTGGCTTGCCCCGGTCAGACAACTCTTTGTCCCAAAATTTACTTCCAGGGGGTCCACCCTATGTAAGTTGGAGAATTTAGAATTTTTCAAACACCTGAAAATCTAGATCCATAATCATTATGCCTAATTCTATGTAAATATATATTTATATTTTACTGCATATCTAATATACCTCTTGAGCTGTCTGTATCCTCCTGACTAGTGGTGAAATAAACTAAATATGCTTCTCTGCATCTCTGCTAATATCTGGGTAAAAGATTGAAAGGAATACTTATTATTATTATTATACTTATACTTATTCAGGACATTTAGTTATTGCTTCCTTTGCTAAAGTCTACCAACCTTGCCAGCAGGCATGCCAGCTAAGATAATTAGATAAGCTAGCTACTCTAACTTGATTGATGTTTTTTAAAAGTTTTTCAGTTAAAACGATAACACAATTCCACGTGAATTCACAGTGCAGCTGCTCTGCTGCCAGCAACGGTTTGGGTCTCACGGTGCGTCCCTTTCAGATGGTGAAGCACTGCACCTGTACTACCATTACTGTACCTCAATTCCACCTCGCAAAGTTTGCATTTCACCACCTTCTCATTTAACTTCTAAAGGATTGCCATACAGGACTTTGCTGCTGTTGCTTGCCTTTCTCTGACATTTTTCCAACTGTTTAAGACGATGATGTAGTGGTTGAGTGTGTGTGTTCAGTCTTCGGTCTGTTGCATGTAGAATATCCTAGCCTATTCATTGATGATAGGCCCTGCTTTACTGAAGTTGTGAGACATTGCAAGCCAAGAAATAGCATTCTATTGCGAGATACAGAAGCTAGCTGTCCTCCGGCTACACCATGGTGCTACCCTACAGTGTGCTGCTGAGGCTACTATAGACTTTCATTGCAAAACAGTGTGTTTTAATCAATTATTTGGTGACGGAAATATTTATTATCTTTTTTTTCTAAAAATGATATATATATTTTTTTACATATTTCACTATATTGATTTTTATAAAATTCAGTGAGGAGGATGGTCCTCCCCATCCTCTTCTGAGGACCCTCCACTGGTCTATATACAGTTATCTAGTTGTGAGCAGTAACACTGTGGGTTTTACAGTATGCTGTGAGTCCGATGGTGTTCCTTCCCTGCACCTTGACAACAGTTGATTTAGATGGTGCAGCTGAAAGTCTTCACTCTGGCCTCACACAGAGGATGACGTCAATGAGCAGGATGACAGTTCTGTGTTTTAGAAGAGGAATAACTTAAGCAAGATGAGCAGGCAGAGTCACTCCTGCCTTACAAAGGATCCTTCTCTGCGAGTAGGTAAGGAGATGAAAACTTGGTGAGATTAAACATACTTTGTAAGCCTATAGTTCGCCTCCGTTGATGTCCTAAACCTAAGGAACCAAGGACATGAGGCTACCACCACTAATTGCTTTTGTAGATACTTGTAACATATTTTTATTGTAATTGTTATAACATGTATAATGGCTAGAAGTGTAGCTCACTGTTCCAGTGTTGTTGTCAATGGGAAGAGATCGGTAAGTACTCCATTAGCCTTTTCAAGTGGAAAGGGCCCATAGTTTAGAGTGTTGCTGACACAGTAATGGTATTCTGGAGAGGTGCTATTCACTAAAACAAAGTGAAACCTAAGGCACAATCAGGCCTTTTCACCTGGCTGTGAGTGGTTCTACTGAAGATGTAGCTGGTCGCTCTTCTCATTAATACCTTAGCCTGGAGTGAGGAAGGGAGAGAGGAGATAGAGAGAGAGAGAGGAGAAGAGAGAGAAGGAGAGAGAGAGATGGATATGAGAGAGAGAGAGAGAGAGAAGAGAGAGAGGTTTGGAAGGAGGTAGAGAGTGTATTTCGGGAGAGCAAGAGCGGCGGTATGGTCTCCCGCCAGGTTAGGGTGAGGAGGGTGTTCACCTAAGGAGGAGGGCGGACTTAACGAGAGAGGATAAAGGCAGAGAGCGCGAGAGAGAGAGCGAAGGAGAGAGCCTCCGAGCAGAGAGCTTCTCGAGCGCTCTTCTCTCTCTCTTCTCTCTCGGGCGGGCGTCTCTCTCTCTCGCCTCTCGTCGTAGGGAGGGGAGGGAGAGTCATTCTGTTTAGGTCCAGAGCACAAAGATGACAGAAATAGATTGTGCTGTGACAAGAGAAAATATAGATTTATCACCTGCAATTTCGTGTCAGCTGATTTGTTTTTTCGTTTTTTGAGAAGTGAGACTTGAGTCCAAACAAAAGATGATCGCTGATCAACAATAGGATTTTTCAATTGGATTTTTCTCCCCACAGCAAACTCAATGTCGTCTACTATTTTTGAGGAGAAACAAAGGAGAAACAATCTCATCCAATTAGTTTGCTGAGAGATGTACAGTATCAGATAATCTTCACCTCTGTGTGTTGTAAAACACTGGTGTTTCATTGGTCACGTCCATTGGGGATGGACACTTCTATTGGCTGTCTTTCTGATGTCTATTTGGACCCTGGTTGCTTATCTAGACAGCAGAATGAACTGTGTTGTCTGTCAGTTCCTTGCAGTCTGCTTCTAACAGACTGAAGGTCGGCATTTAGGGGTGTTTTCTGTACCTGACATGCTCGGTTGCGGTGGTCAGTCATCCAGAGTGAGCACGGTGTAACCGTTTACTCTAGCTCCTGGCCGAATTGCCTACTTCCTGTAACATTTGACTAATACGCACAACTGACTTTTAGTCGAGCAGCTAGCAGCTAAAACAAACTTCCTCATGGCTTTATTTAGATTGTAGCACTGTAGGGAAGGGCAAGATAATGGTGTTTATATAGCTCTGTAGACCTATGTAAATACCTGTATGTGAGACGTGGTTGGTTCGTCAAGTCTTTTTTGTTTAAGAGATATCAGAAAGTGTGCTTCAAGTATGCGTCAATAGATGATTATTCAGGTTGTGGTGTCTTTTAATATGCTGCTTGTCTTGGGTTAACTGAAAATCTTGAATCTATTACATTTTTTATTGTAATTTAGGTTTATTGGAGCAAGGAAATTCTTAATATTTATTTCCTTGTTAGATTGGCTAACCTTCTGTTATTCTAAAGCTCTCACTAAATGAAGTAGAGATTGAGATGATTTCTGGACCACAGAGGGTATTGCTAGGGAGCTGGACCGCACCACCGAGATCCTGAGAGGGTACTTGCTGCACGCACACACACACACACACACACACACACACAAAGACACACACCGTCAGAAACACACACTGTTGTGTTTGGCGATGTGTGTGTTGACTCTGTATCCAATCTCCCTCCTCCGCGGTGCATAGTGTGTGTATGTGTGTGTGTGTGTGTGTGTGCGTGAGTTGACTCTCCTCGGTGGTGCAGTAGATCTAGAGGTGTGTTGTTTTAGGCAGAGGATGTGAACCAGGAAGCTGTTCCGCTAAAGGCCACCGGGGTCGTGAAGAGAGTTGTGCTGGAAAAAATTGTGTGTTTTTTTTAAAGGCTCTTTCAAGCAGTTGAGGAGTTGTTAGTTTGAACTGTGGGTGGTTGGAGTATAGCTTATGTCCTGATCTTAGGTGAATCACACTAGGTAACCCCTAAGAACTACCCTTTAAATCCACTTTGATGTACAATAAACTTTGCTGGTTCATCAACATGTAAGCATGTTTGTGTGCACATCTGTGTTTATTGTGTCTGTGATAGTGAACCTCAACGCACAACAGATTTGCTCTCAGACGAGTGACCCAGCTTTCAGGTACTCTGAGGGCGAGTGCCCACCGCACAATGACAGGAGCAATACATCATTATTCTACTCACTCAAACAGCAAGGGAGACCTCTGCTCTCTTCACACCGTAATGAGTGCAGCATGGAGCCTGCCTCTCCACTGAACCTGGGTGGCATAGAATAGATCCGAGCTCAACACCCATGGCTGCAGCATCTGGTAAAGAAGTCTGATGTCATAAAACAGTTAAAAACCATAACATACTGTAAGCAATGAGTCCAAAGAAGCCAGGCAGTTGATGAGATGAACAGGTTGAGAAACTGTATTTTGAGGGACTTCTTCATAGGGCCAGGGAGCTTCTTTTTTTTTTTTTTTTACACAAACACACACACAGCTGTGTCCGATGATTTTACCCCTCTGTTAACTCACTTTACGAAAAACTCTATCGCATAGAAGGGCTTTCGTGAGACTGAGTATTTAGCTCTCTGTATCTTTATGATGAGTAGATGGCTTTGTAGTGACATGATTCACCCACAAAATGGCTGCTGTGGTTGACTGTTAAACCCCCCCCCCCCCCACCCCTCAAGTCTCACTGCTGGGGGGTCCGTTAGTCATTGACCTGGTGGGTCTCTTACCGTCACAGAAACCTACACACTCTTACAGTATCCTGGACCGACATGTGGCAGCTGTTACAGGATGATTAGAAAAGTCCTGATTCAGGACACACGCACACACACAGCTGGCTGGTTATCATCAAGGCTTTCTCAGCAGTATGAAATGAGTATGTAATCAGGGGCCGTATATACAAAGCGTCTCAGAGTAGAAAATTGGTGCTACGAATAGAAACATTTTACTCGTACTCTTATGGGTAAAAATAAAAGCTATGCATGAAGCCTCTTTAGTCAAACGAGCCTATAACCTAGTAGACAGATATTTAGGAGACCTCATGAGCTGTCCTAACCAGTTAGGAGTTACCAGCAGGTGTGTTGATTATAGAAAAAGGCACCAAGTCAGTGGTTTGCTTACGAGTTGAAATAATATTTTAATATTTCTGTATCATTTAGACTTACAGTACGTGCAACACGATCTCTTGTGCTTTTGAGAATGATTTAATATGAGGCATATTTTTCTTTCGATTATTTCATTAACCTACAGTACCAGTCAAAAGTTTGGACACACCTACTCATTCAAGGTTTTTCTTTATTTTTACTATTTTCTACATTGTAGAATAATAGTGAAGACATCAAAACTATGACATAACACATATGGAATCATGTAGTATCCAAAAAAGTGTTAAACAAATCAAAATATATTTTATATTCTTCAAAGTAGCCACCCTTTGCGTTGATGACAACTTTGCACACTCTTAGCGTTCTCTCAACCAGCTTCATGAGGAATGCTTTTCCAACAGTCTTGAAGGAGTTCCCATATATGCTGAGCACTTGTTGGCTGCTTTTCCTTCACTCTGCGGTCCAACTCATCCCAAACCACCTCAATTGGGTTGAGGTCAGGTGATTGTGGAGGCCAGGTCATCTGATGCAACACTCCATCACTCTTTCTTGGTCAAATAGCCCTTACACAGCCTGGAAGTGTGTTTTGGGTCATTGTCCTGTTGAAAAACAAATGATAGTCCCACTAAGCACAAACAAGATGGGATGGCGTATCGCTGCAGAATGCTGTGGTAGCCATGCTGGTTAAGTGTGCCTTGAATTCTAAATAAATAACAGACAGTGTCACCAGCAAAGCACCCCCACACTATCACACCTCCTCCTCCATGCTTCACGGTGGGAAGCACACATGCGGAGATCATCCGTTCACCTACTCTGCGTCTCACAAAGACACAGCGATTGGAACCAAAAATCTCAAATTTGGACTCATCAGACCAGAGGACAGATTTCCACCGGTCTAATGTCCATTGCTAATGTTTCTTGGCCCAAGCAAGTCTCTTCTTCTTATTGGTGTCCTTTAGTAGTGGTTTCTTTGCAGCAATTCGAACATGAAGGCCTGATTCACGCAGTCTCCTCTGAACAGTTGATGTTGAGATGTGTCTGTTACTTGAACTCTGTGAAGCATTTATTTGGGCTGCGATTTCTGAGGCTGGTAACTCTAATGAACTTATCTTCTGCAGCAGAGCAACTCTTCCTTTCCTGTGGTGGTCCTCATGAGAGCCAGTTTCATCATAGCTCTTGATGGTTTTTGCGACTGCACTTGAAGAAACGTTCAAAGTTCTTGAAATGTTCCAGATTGACTGACCTTCATGTCTTAAAGTAATGATGGACTGTCGTTTCTCTTTGCTTATTTGAGCTGTTCTTGCCATAATATGGACTTGGTTTTTTACCAAATAGGGCTATCTTCTGGATACCCCCCTACCTTGTCACAACACAACTGATTGGCTCAAATGCATTAAGAAGGAAATAAATTCCACAATTCAACTTTTAAGAAGGCACACCTGTTAATTGAAATGCATTCCAGGTGACTACCTCATGAAGCTGGTTGAGAGAATGCCAAGAGTGTGCAAAGCTGTCATCAAGGTAAAGGGTGGCTACTTTGAAGAATCTAAAATCTCAAATATATTTGGTTACTACATGATTCCATATGTGTTATTTCATAGTTTTGATGTCTTCACTATTATTCTACAATGTAGAAAATAGTAAAAATAAAGAAACACCTTGAATGAGTAGGTGTGTCCAAACTTTTGACTGGTACTGTACATCATGTAATTTCAAGTTATCCCTTTGGAGTGCAATATCATTTTGTTAAAAACGATCCCTAAATTGGGCATGCCTATAAGTTGGGCAATTGACAACATCTAGGGCCTATGTATTTGGTGATTAATGATAGACCTTTCAAACGTTTTTATGCAACATTATTATTGGCAAGTGACTTGATGCCTACTGTGCCAAAAGCGAGTTATTGAACGGGAGTGATGAGTATGTTGATATAACAATAATATTATCAAAATTCCGATTCATACTGTAAAATTCAATGTAATAGCCTATCACATTATTCAAAATAATCCGAATTTGTTAAAAAAGGGTTTTGCATGCCAACATATTAGGCAAGAATTAAGAGTAGGCAAAGTGATCGTGTCAGGCTAAAATTATATCAAATGTTTTACCATTGCAACATTTGATGTACAGTCACATTCACTGTGGTTGTCTGAAGTGCTATAGACTTCACAGCTGGCAAAGCCTCATCGCGATTGGTTATTCCCCCATAATTTGCAACAATTTCAATGAGCATCATCACTATCTTTCCTTTGCGGTACCTCAAACTGTCGTGATTACCAGCTGAGATAAACTTTTATGAGGTGATGTTTTTGTCTTAAAACAGGTTTTAACAGAATTCCTAGGACCTTTTCTGAGAGGCTTTGTGGATATGGGCCTTAGGGAAAGATGTGGCCAGGTCTGCCTGCTGGGGAGTTTTGTCTGTGGGACGATTCTCTCCCGCAAACTAAACCCCCATGACCAGTGTCAGCACCGTTGAATTACATGAAATTAGAAGAAATACCATGAACAGAAATGTCTCCTCTGTACAGGAGGCAGGTAGCTTAGTGGGTAAGAGCGTTGTGCCAGTAACCGAAAGGTCGCTGGTTCTAATCCCCGAGCCGACTAGGTGAAAAATCTGTCGATGTGCCCTTGAGCAAGGCACTTAACCCTAATTGCTCCTGTAAGTCGCTCTGGATAAGAGCGTCTGCTAAATGACTAAAATGTACAGTATCATCCTTTAGTTAAGCTCCAATCAGCAGCACCCAGTCTAATGCATCCAGTCTCAGACAACCTCTCTGTTCAGAAGGAGGATTAAGTCCTAATTAGGTGAGGGAAAAGGAAGCCTTTAGATGCAGAGAGACAGGTGTACAGTCAAAGCCTGTACAGTACAGTAAAGTGCAGTATATTATGATATTATGGATGTGTTGAAGGGAGAGATAAGCCAAGGTAATATGCCAGGTGCACTGGGTATTAGTTCATTAAGCTTGACATTGGGCACTGCACTGTACAGTCATGGTCAAAAGTTTTGAGAATGACACAAGTATTGGTCTTCACAAAGTTTGCTGCTTCAGTGTTTTTAGATATTTTTGTCAGATGTTACTATGGTATACTGAAGTATAATTACAAGCATTCCATAAGTGTCAAAGGCTTTTATTGACAATTACATTAAGTTTATGCGAAGAGTCAATATTTGCAGTGTTGACCCTTCTTTTTCAAGACCTCTGCAATCCGCCCTGGCATGCTGTCAATTAACTTCTGGGCCACATCCTGACTGATGGCAGCCCATTCTTGCATAATCAATGCTTGGAGTTTGTCAGAATGTGTGTGTTTTTGTTTGTCCACCCGCCTCTTGAGGATTGACCACAAGTTCTCAATGGGATTAAGGTCTGGGGAGTTTCCTGGCCATGGACCCAAAAATGTTTTGTTCCCCGAGCCACTTAGTTCTCATTTTTGCCTTATGGCAAGGTGCTCCATCATGCTGGAAAAGGCATTGGTCGTCACCAAACTGTTCTTGGATGGTTGGGAGAAGTTGCTCTCGGAGGATGTGTTGGTACCATTCTTTATTCATGGCTGTGTTCTTAGGCAAAATTGTGAGTGAGCCCACTCCCTTGGCTGAGAAGCAACCCCACACATGAATGGTCTAAGGATGCTTTACTGTTGGCATGACACAGGACTGATGGTAGTGCTCACCTTGTCTTCTACGGACAAGCTTTTTTCCGGATGCCCCAAACAATCGGAAAGGGGATTCATCAGAGAAAATGACTTTACCCCAGTCCTCAGCAGTCCAATCCCTGTACCTTTTGCAGAATATCAGTCTGTCCCTGATGTTTTTCCTGGAGAGAAGTGGCTTTCTCACTGCCCTTCTTGACACCAGGCCATCCTCCAAAAGTCTTTGCCTCACTGTGCGTGCAGATGCACTCACACCTGCCTGCTGCCATTCCTGAGCAAGCTCTGCAATGGTGGTGCCCCGATCCCGCAGCTGAATCAACTTTAGGAGACAGTCCTGGCGCTTGCTGAACTTTCTTGGGCGCCCTGAAGCCTTCTTCACAACAATTGAACCTCTCTCCTTGAAGTTCTTGATGATCCGATAAATGGTTGATTTAGGTGCAATCTTACTAGCAGCAATATCCTTGCCTGTGAAGACCTTTTTTTGCAAAGCAATGATGACGGCACGTGTTTCCTTGCAGGTAACCATGGTTAACAGAGGAAGAACAATGATTTCAAGCACCACCCTCCTTTTAAAGCGTCCAGTCTGTTATTCTAACTCAATCAGCATGACAGAGTGATTTCCAGCCTTGTCCTCGTCAACACTCTCACCTGTGTTAACGACAGAATCACTGACATGATGTCAGCTGGTCCTTTTGTGGCAGGGCTGAAATGCAGTGGAAATGTTTTTGGGGGATTAAGTTCATTTTCATGGCAAAGAGGGACTTTGCAATTAATTGCAATTCATCTGATCACTCTTCATAACATTCTGGAGTATATGCAAATTGCCATCATAAAAACTGAGGCAGCAGACTTTGTGAAAATTAATATTTGTGTCATTCTCAAAACTTTTGACCACGACTGTACTCTTGCCAAGGGGAAAGCCAGGGGGACAAAAACAGGGGATCAAAAACATATTGAAGGTTGGATAACCCTCCTCAAAACCTCTTCAACACATCGCTGAATTAAAAAACATGAAAACAAAATGTACACTTTGTTTTCATAGGCCTTCAGTTACCCTGGCACAGTATCAGAGGAAAAACTTAGAGAAAAGCTATCTGACTTCATCCAAGTCTGAGCAAGAGGGCTTTGAAGATGTCGGAACCTCTTGTGAGGCACACAGGTTAGGTTACTCTGTGTTTACTTAGAAGTGAAAGAGACTCCTCCTTAACTGCCTGACAAAGTGTTTCCTCGTCAGCTGCTTCAGTTTTCTCTCTTTAAGAAGTTTCATGCGACCCCTGTAGAGAAAGACATGCTGCTTCAAACACACTCATCCCACTCAAACAGACAGCTTCACAGACGTCTGCCTTGCCTTGTCTGTCTTCCATAAACCACTCCTAATGGATATGCATAGCCCTATTATTTCTCCTTTGAAAGAATCCTTCTAGTCTACTAGTCAAATCCCACAAGTTGAGGAGAAAGATGTGAGTTTGAACAATAACAGTGGGGAAGCATACATGGGAAGTTTGACAGATCTTCACTCATCGATGGTAAAACGTGTGCGTACGTATGTGTGCGGGTGCCTGTGCGTGTGTGTGGGCGATTCCTCAATCACAACTCACCACTGACAGCTCTGTATTGTCTGGCCTGTAGGAGTAAATGAATAGTGACAAGCAGTGTGTGTGTTCTTATTGTACTTTTATTAAACCGAATAGAGCTGCTTAATTTAATCCCCCCTCTCTTTAGTTTGACTACCATAGAGAGGGAACAGGAGCTGTGATGGGTTTGATTTGAATTAGGTAAATTAGGTGGAGTCTCTGAGGGGATGGTTGAGATGATAAATATTCACCATGAGGAAACACCATGTCTTTTTGATCATAATTGTTGTAACACTCCTGTAAAGACAGGAGGAATTAGGAAGACTACCTTTCACTGGTTATCAACCAGCTCCAAGTAGCTGATTAGTTGTCTGGGATTGAAAGAGACATTTAGCAAAAAATGTCAGTTGTCTTTTCAAATGTAACCTGTGGGTTTCTTCTGGTAAAGTGTGTCCATCAGAGGAATTATTATGTTTGGTCTATCAAGTGTGCATTTGTGTGTGTGCTAACATGCACAGTCAGTGTAGGCTATCCCACTGGGCACAGATGTCAATTCAACGTCTATTCCACATTGGTTCAATGTCATTTCATTGAAATGACGTAGAAACAACGTTGATTCAACTAGTATGTGCCCAGTAGGATGTGTGTTTCTGTATATATTTTGTTATTCTGCATGCATGTGCGGGCCTGAGTGTGTTTTCTCTCTGGACAGCCAGCATTTCTCTGCTCCATTTCTCCCTAATTGACCTCCACCGTGTGTGTGTTTGTGTGTGTGTGTGTGTGTGCTGAGTCACCATAGTGAGGTCAAAGCCTCTCTGTTGGTACCAGCCCTCTGCCAACAGACAACCAGGCCAAACTCTTATTGGATCAGATAAGATCATAAGATCATAGCCAATCAGATCCAATCTATTTTATTGCGTCAATGCTGCCGCCAACGTTGAGATCATATTGTTCATTTAAGTGTGTGTAATGTGGTCCATATTATATATCATTTGTTTAGTAAATTGCTGTACCTGGAGCCAAGCCACTCTGTATGAGTCTGTTTTGAATGTGGTAGGTAGGTGGTGTGGTAGGGTGGCTACAGTCTTTCTCCAGCAGATGGCAGAATACACATTCTGTTTTGGGGGAAAACCCCAGTCCTCAATGGAAGGTACAGGTGTTAGCAAATTTGGTATTGTGAGGCTGGTGATTGTAGAGAGGGAGACAGATAGCATTCTAGGATTTGAGTTGATATTGTGGATTGAATTGTTTTGGGACTGTCTGCACATCTTACAGCTGGTCAATCTTTTCCATTTATATGTTTATTACTGGTTCAGCTCAAAGTGATTGTATTCTATATGGCAGCACATGGAATGGTCTCTACTCTTTGCCAAACAGCTTAGGGTCTAGATTTTGTGTGTTACGGTGTATGTGTTTTTTTCTGTGTATGTCAATAGAATATATATAGGACTATTTAAAAGTATCTCCTCAAGGATTCAAAGCCCATGTGAAGTGTACTGCTCAGCTTCGCTTTGCCTCTCATCTCCCGTCTTGAGTCATCTCAGCTGTGCTCTCGGGTTCTATGCATTTCCAAGAGAGCCACAGACTTACATAAAACTCTCTCAAAGATCACAGAACAATGCTACAAGCCTTCCATGTTATAGTCTACACAGAAAGTGGCCAGTGATGTTCCCGAGCTGACATTGGCTCGGTTCCCCCAAAATAACTGTTGCGCAATGTTTGTCTCAAACAACATAGATTTTTCATGAATTATTGAACCAGTTGATTCCCAGTGGTGTAACTGCAACACAAGTTACCCCCAAACACATTGAACAACTGGGAAAACTTAAAGATCCATTCCAGCCATCATTTCCCCTTATTTGTTAGGCAGCAGGTGTTGATTAAGTTCCAGTTGACTAGCACAAGAGTCGTTCCATGTAATTTCAGAAACCATGACACCCACCATCTCAGATTGTTCTGAAACTGTTTCCTTAGTTAGAAACAGATAGGATTGGCATTCCAGAAACATTATTTTGTTGAAATTTAAGTTGACGTTTTAAGCTAATTGCCATTTTAATTTATAGCATTCAGATAATATTCAGTAAATATAGTACCCAACATCCGATTTGGACCACATTTCTTCCTACTAATGAGTAAGACAAGAGAACAACAAACACCCACGGATCCTCCACACCCCATGACAATCACACCCAAACAACGAGTATACAGTATCAGTTCTCTATGTTTGACAAGTAGTGTGAAGCTGTGGCTTGGAGTATTGCTTCTCAATACTATGTAATGTATTCCCTGTGAATCTGGAGATGTTTTTTTTTCCCCTGTTCAGAGAAATCAGTAATTGAAGTCACTTTCATTACTTACCATAAAGTAGTGTGAAAGTATCAGGTTTTGACCAATATATGCCGCTGTTTCTGCTATACCAACACACACTTTTATCAATGTTGCTGGTCTCTTGTCTTTACTAAATAGATCACAACATTTCCTTTGCAGCTTTGGGTATAAAACCAGTAGATTTGGCTCATGATGAAAATAAATGGTGTGGTCATCCTCACAATTCAAGCCAGTCTTCCATTAAAACTAAATCAGTTTGTCCTTCTTTCATGCTTAATCAGTGTCCAGGAAACGGCTCCTTTGTGTGTGGTTTATTCCCTTCAAAAAAGGTCTGGATTAGTTACTGTTAGACCATTCCTGGTGAATAAGCAAACTATTAAGCTACAGCACATCTAATGATTTCAATGTTATGGTCTCTAATGGTCTTCGATGGTAAAAGTCCCAAACTCACACTGTATACATTTTGCAATTGGTATTGGATTGTGTTGGGTTTAATGGTAAATGTCACTAATCACAATACATATAGAGCTGTTTCCTGATAATTTTATTGAAAAACATAAGACTGACATGCAATTAATTATTTTATTAGGGTTGTCACAACATTTTAGTAGCTAGCCCATTTATCCATCAAAGTTTTGGACATGTAATGTAGGAAAGGTCTTCATAGGGATAGCCCTTTCAGAGAGTGGCCACTTGATGGACTATTCAAGGAGAGTTGGGTTGAAGCATTAGGTTGCTAAGGGAAGGACTGGCTTGAACTGAGGATGACCACACAATTTAATTTCATAATGAGCCAAATCTATTGGTTTAGAACCCAAAATTGCAATGGAAATCTTGTGATCTGTTTAATAAACACAAGAGACTAGCAAAATTTATAAAAATGTGGCAGTATAGCAAGAACAGCGGCATCTAGTGGTCAAAACCTGGTACTTTCACACTACTTTATCGTAAATAATGCAAGCGACTTCAATTACAAATTTCTCTGAACGGGGGGAAAAATATCAACAGATTGACAGGGAATACATTACATAGTATGGAGAAGCAATACTCCAAGCCACAGCTTCATTCTACTTGTCAAACATATAGAACTGATACTGTATACACTCACAGTTTATTAGGTACACCCATCTAGTACTGGGTCGGACTCCCCTTTGCCTCCAGAACAGCCTGAATTCTTCGGGGCATTCTACAAGGTGTCAGAAACGTTCAACAGGGATGTTGGTCCATGCCGACGCGATGGCATCACGCAGTTGCTGCAGATTGGACGCCAGTACATTCATGCTGTGAACAGCCCATTCCATTTCATCCCAAATATGCTCTATTAGGTTGAGGTCTGGGGACTGCACAGGCCACTCAAGTAAACTGAACTCGCTGTCATGTCCCAGGCAATGTTTTTACACTCCTCAATTGTCCAGTGTTGGTGATCGCATGCTTATTGGAGCCTTTTCTTCTTGTTTTTAGCTGAAAGTGGAACCTGGTGTGGTTATCTGCTGCAATTGCCCATCCATGATCGACGAGTTCCTAGATGCCGTCCTGCACACCACTGCGCCGTTATTTGTCTGTTTGTGGCCCACCTGTTAGCTTGCACGATTCTTGACATTCTCCTTCGACCTCTCTCATCAACGAGCTGTTTTCGCCCACAGGACTGCCGCTGACTGGATGTTTTTTGTTGGTTGCACCATTCTCGGTAAACCCTAGACACTGTTGTGCATGGAAAGCCCAGGAGGGCGGCCATTTCTGAAATACTGGATCAGGCGCGCCTGGCACCGACGATCATACCACACTCAAACTTGCTTCGGTCACTCATTTTGCCCATTCTAACATTCAATCGAACAGTAACTGAATGCCTTGATGCCTGTCTGCCTGCTTTATATAGGAGCAATACATTTTCGTGAACAGGGTAGTGTACCTAATAAACTGGTGTGAAATGGCTAGCTAGTCAATCGGGGACGTAATTCGCTCTGAGACCTTGAAGTAGTTGTTTCCCTTGCTCTGCAAAGGTCACTGCTTTTGTGGAGCGATAGGTAATGATGCATCATTGGTGACTGTTACTGATGTGTTCAGAGGGTCCCTGGTTCGAGCCCAGGTTGGTGCAAGGAGAGGGACAGAAGAAACACTGTTACCGTGACCAAGTTTACATGTGCACAGTATTCCGAATAATAGCTTATATTCCGCTTGAGGTATTATTCAGGATAAACTGTTTACATGGGCCTTTGATATTCCGCTCACGAGTATCCATGAATAAACAGAATATTCCTAATTTAAATTGGAATCCAAACTGAAATCTGGACATTGACTGTAGGCCTATAACCTTTCACATGTAGCCTAATATAATATGAACTCCTGCAGAATTATGCATTTCTTGCAGCAGAATTATACAACAAATGTTAATTTTGTCTCTGGAACAGGAGTGGACAAATATTATTTATTTATTTCAGCATCTCTTCGAGAACATGCGAATGTGGGTGTAAGGTGTTATCTTTGACACTGTTATGCAAGCGGACAGTATTTCAACCACATCAAATATGCACCCAAGACGAACTGAAGTCTTATCAGAAACGTGTTTCATCGTTTTCACAGCTTTTCATTTCCTTAATACCAGTCAAACTGATGACATTTGGACATTTTGCACAGGAATAATCTTTCCACTGTTTTGGAGTTATTGCGTTTTCTCCCTGGTCCCTAAACGAAAAACAGACGACTTTACCGGTGTTAACTATATTACTAATGCATTCATATACTATCGATGTAATACACTATTTTGGTGAGCACTACTTTATTGAGTCTTCTAAGGTAACAAGTTACTGTATGACAGAAGAGAAGCTGCATGTATCTAACTATAGTTGACAAAAAATGGCCTACCAAATGACGGAAGTTGTAATATGGCCTTCCAAATGTCTGAAATTAAAAGCAAAAACATATCTAAACCAGTAGGCCTAGGATATACGGTCCAGTACGGAGTATCAGCAAAACAAACGATTATGGAATTATTATGGTGGATCGAACTGTGCAGGTATTGCCTACTTTTTAAAATGGTTTGTTTGACAATCAGATGAAAACATGATCACACAACACCCATGATATGGGAAACTGAACCTGCGCAGACTGTGAAAAACAACAGTAAACAGGATAAGGTGTTGACCTGCCACAGTATCCCGTCTAAGATCAGCATATCCCAGGCATTTTATCCGGGTTTCTCATAAATGGGATACAAACTTTTTTGGGTTATTTTAAACAGGATATGATGCATCAACTCAAATACAGAATACTTTAGTATCCCAAATAATAACGGGATATTGGTGTGCATATAAACATGGTCATTGATGCTGTTGACCCGGATCACTCAGTTGGGCTCTGCCCTGATGCTGTGGTTGCTGCGGAGAAGGAGGAGGTCAAAAGGGGGGTGAGTGTAACCGGTGTGAAATGGCTAGCTAGTTAGTGGTGTAGTTAGCATTTCAATCGCTGTCTTCACTTGCTCTGAGACCTTGAAGTAGTTGTTTCCCTTGCTCTGCAAGGACCATGGCTTTTGTAGCGCGATAGATAATGATGCTGCGTGGGAGGCAGTTGTTGATGTGTTCAGAGGGTCGCTGGTTCAAGCCCAGGTTGGGGCAAGGAGAGAGACGTAAGCGAGACTGTTAAATATACTGGTAGTTGGGGTGGGATTGGCATGGGGTGTGGGAGGTCCGTGGGTGGCTTCAGTTAGTTTTCTCCGGTTCAGGCCTAATGAATCCCAGGGATGATTTGTCCATGATTGTCTTCCCTCATCACTCAGTGGCCGTTGAGTGCTGTTGTGCTGCTGAATCAATATCCCTGGACTATCAGGGATTGAACACTCAGATTACTGATGAGAGTGATTTGCGGCCTGTGTGTGTGTGGGGGGGGGGGGCTGTGTCTGTTTGTGTGTGTGAGTGTGTGTGTGCGTGTATGTGTGTGCCTATGCTCTCAAGTGTGAGGATTCAGTGGTTTTGTTCTGAGAATATGTGTTGGTTTTCCCTCTGAAAGTTTTCCTCTTAACAAATTACAGAAATTACAGCCCGGAGGGGAAGGGCCTGAAATCAATG